TAAGAAATATAAACAAAGAAGTAGGTGATATATACGTTATATTCAATTCTAGGTTGAAGGATTTTTGGTTTAGTAATTTTTAAAATGCTGCTTCAATGTTTCCTCCCTTTCATCGTATCTCAAAATTTGACTTCTCGGTATCTGAGAGAAACGTACTCTAAAGTGATTAGCCTCAGGTGAGAAGCTGCCAAAGAACATGGAGACATGGCAATGAAATCTATCAAAAAGAAACACAGTGCAAAAGAATATAGTCTTCTAATGAAAACCATATCAGTGAGTTGTGGGAGATTTTTAAGCAATGTATCAGATATATAACTGGCATTCCCAAGGAGGGAATAAATGAAAGGGTGAACCTCCCCCCAAAAATCTGAAAAATGAAAGAAAAAATTTCCAAAAAAATAAAGGAAACTATAAGCCTACAGAACAGAAAGATCAAACCACAAATACATAAATAAATTAAGCCAAGGAGCATCTTAATCAAATTATTCAAACCAGTAATAAAGAAAAAGACCAGATACATAAAACAGGTTATGTACTGAGGAACAAAGGCAAGGATGACAGCAGATTTCCCATCAGACCATGAAAGTGAGACGACATTGAACCACACCTTTATGTAGGCACTCAGTTAGAAAACTCCCATGCTTCTACATTCTATCCAAATGAACCCTACTATTACATAGCAACTGACATGAACTATTAAAAACAATAACCACCACGACTACCACAAAAAGTCATGGAACCTATAATTTTAAGCCAAGTGAAAATACCTTTTAAAACCTAAGGGAAAACACAGGCTTTTCATATATAAAGGAACTGAATGAATTCATCACCAGCAAGTGTTAAAGGAAGACGCTCAGAGGAGAAATTGCTAGATGAAAACACAGACGTCCACAGTGTCCAAAGTGGCTTTATTTGCAACAATTAAAATGTGGAACCAACCCAAATATCCAGTAACAGGTTAATGGTGATGAGTCCTAGAAATGGAACATTACACAGAAAAAAAAAAAAAAAAAAACGAATTATCAATTCACAAACAACATGGATGGATCTCAAAATGCCTGTGCTGATAATTGGTGGAAGTCAGGTTAAAAAAAAAAGAGCAAAGAGCACATATTAGAACTTTCCATTTACATAAATCCCCAGAAAACACAAATGAATTTACTATGAAATGGACCCCACTTTGCCCTGAGGTTGCAAAGATCAGGGAGGCTTAGGGTGGTGCAGAGAGCCCACGGGCTTTCCTGGGGAGATGGGGCATCCTGTCTTGACTCCACCAAGGCTGTTGTGAGACTGTACCTGTGTCAAAATAGATCAAATCATACATTTTAAAGGTCTGAAGTTCTTTGAATTCTTTTATATAGCAACAAACCTGCCATTTCAGTTTCTCCATATTATTGTGTAAAATATGGAAAATTTTTAAATAAAGAAGAAGCAATAAAATCACTGGTTACAACTGAGAAGGTATTTTTGATACTTAGGTGCTGAGCATTCTATCAAAAGAATTTAGCCTGACMTATTTAGCCAGTATATATTAAAATAAAATATATAAAATAGATTGTACCTAGGCATAAGCCTATTCTAATTATTTGAAGATGTAATACATGTGGAATAAAACATCTCATGTGTACTACTGATTCTTTTCTTGATGTACATTCCAAAATGATCCCAGGATCTAAACATTTTTAAGATGCTTCACAGTTTCTCCTAGAAGGTGGAGGGAAAGTACTGTATCTGAGTGGACCTTCATCGTGGAATACCAGGCCTTCCAGAGCCAGCCCAGCCTGCTTTTCCATAAGAAAAGGATGAGACTAATTGCGTTTCCCATTCACTAACAAAAATAGCTGCTGCACTTAGGAAGAAGTTGTTTTAAAGAAAAGACACTGGATGAGTCACTGAAGGCTGCCAGAACAGAACACCCCAGGCGGATCCGCTTCCACAGACATGGAAGGCCCAGGACCAAGGTGCCAACTAGGTACTGCCGCAGTCTGGCTGGGCACAAATCTCGAGCCACTGAAGCAGGAACAAACTTTATTTCTGAACTCCACGAGCACACTCCACACACGCTCCCCGGGACTCTGCCAAACGCCACGCAGCTCCTCCAGGAACCAGCAACCGGAAATATCCCTCCTCCGACACTTCTCCAACCAATGGGAACTCTCCGGGAATCCCCGCGAGAGCTCAACGGGAACTCCGCGAGAACTCGCTGGTGTCACCCCTCAACCACTACTCCTGGCAAAAATGCCATGCGTCATCTCGACTCGGCTGTGGCCCCCAACAAGGTACCATTTCTCATGGGGCTTCATCTCTTAGTTCTGAGATGACAGTGACCATCTCACCATGTGCCCACAGGACCTCTTGTTCATGCAGAGGGGAGAGGGAGGGAGAGGAAAGAGTGTGCTGTGCATGGGTACACGCCGGGGCTGTCCTTACCTGGGCCCTAAGCTGATGGGAACAGAGCCTCACTTATGACCCGCTGTGACCCAGCTTCCTGCTGAAGACCTAGTCTCTAGCTACAGTTGCTAAGAGGGCTTCTGCATATGAGTTTTGGGAGGATACACATTCTCCGTCCATAGCAGATATCTATTTCAGCAACTCAAAAGTGGGGCTCAAAATCTAATGTATTTTGGTGAATCAGATGGTCATGCTTATAATATTTCATAGCATCAACTTTAGTAGAGAACATTATATGTGGGTAACTGCCTTGATTTTCTCTTTTTTTCTAAAAATGGCTTGACCTCACCATCATTTCTGTAGGTCATTTTTACTGGATGTAGGACTCTAGTTGGATATCTTTTTCTCTCAGAACTTGGGAGATCTTCTCCACTGTCTCCTCCATAGTTTCTAGGGTTCTTTGTCACCATATGCATATTCATAGCCAGTGGTTTTTCTCCAGCTGCTTCCAAGGTTTTCTCCTGATATTTTGTTTCAGTATTTTAACTATTGGGTCCCCTTCAGGAATGGCTCATTCTGCAACAATGACCACTAGCTGGTTTCCTCACGGTATGAACGTCACAGAGTGCACTCACAACTAAAGTGGTCCCACGTCACTAGGCCGCCCACCCTTAGAGGACCACCGTTATTAACCAAAACATTGTTATGTGGCATGTGACAGCAGCTTCCAGTTCTATCATGAAAAAGTGCCCCAAACTGAGTAAGTTAAAACAACAGAAATTTACCCTCTAATAGTTCTGAAAACTGGAAGTTCAAAATCCAGGTGTGAGTAGGGATGTGCTTCCTCGGAGACTAGGGTAGGGCCCTTCCTTGCCTCTCCACTTTATAGGAGGTTGTCATCTGGTGGTGCTGACTTTCAGCCATGTCCTTACCACCTGTGCCCCTTCCTCGGGATGTCCTTGTTGTGCCTCTGGCTCATCCTTCCTTATTACAAGGACACTAGTCATGATAGCTCAGGGCCCACTTTAATCCAGTAGGACTCACCTTAACTTGAATACATAGCAAAACCTTATTTCCAAATAAGGTAACACAGTAAATGAGCACATTAGATTTTCTGTACCATAAGGGATGAGAGAGACAGCTCTGGATCATGGGGCTCTAAACAAGTCAGGAGGGTGTCTGTCTCCCATGAAGCGTCAGGGAGAGCCGTAGCTGTCCTGACTGGTGAACTTGTTCTGCTACCTCAACACATGGCTCCCTCTCTGGACTCCAGCACCCCAACACATGCACCCACATCCACATACCCACATCCACACAACACAGCCAGACACGGGACCTAGGTGTTGTGTGGAGTCCTGGTATCAGTCTTGTAAACTTATGCAGCTAACTCTAAGGCACAGAGTTGGGGACTATTGAATTGATCCAAAATGTTCGAATTCCTTGTACGTGTGAGAGACAAAAAGAGGCCTGGGATGTGGCTCTTGATTTCAAAAGAGTTTTCAGCAGTCCTTGCCTTATTGTTGGAGCCACACAATTAGCACTCCGTAGCATGTTCTAATTCTCTAGGTCGCTCTGTCCAGGACACAGAACTGACTGCTAACTCTGTGCCAGCCACAGCACTGGGCACAATGGCCTTTACACAGCCAAGGGTCATGGTTCCTTCTCTCTTGGCTCTCCATTCACAGACACAGGGGGAGGAAGATCCACAAGACCCATGAAGTAAGCTCACAGGAGCCAATCGAACCATAATCGTGTATGATTGATATCATGGAACAAGAGCACTGGATATCTCATGGCTTTTTAAAAACAGTCCCTTGTGTTAGTGGGCGTGTTCCAGGTTCTTGTTGCAAAAGATGAAAGGACGTAGATGCACCTGTGTGGGTCAGAAACCCACCCCAAGAATGGCTGGTAGCAGGCAGGAGCAGGCTCGTCCCACATAGAAGCCCAAGGTGGGCCAGGCTGGGTGGCAGCAGAGACATGCAGCTTCACCTCTCTGCAGTGTCCTCCTCAACCCCTGGTCTCTACAGGGCTCACTACCACCCCTGAATAGAGCCAGCAGGATAAGTTCAATAAAAGGGCCCCATCCTGCCATATTTCTGTCCTTCTGCTCCCGGCAAGACCTAGCCAGCTGCCCTCATCGAGCTGAAAGGAAGGTGCTCTGCCCTCTCAGCCACCGCATGCCCTCCTAAAATTCTGCTACTCTGGAGGGAAGGGAGAATGGATGTGGGGGACAACAAATGTCCTATCAGGAGAATGGGAGCAGTGCCCCACTCGCAGGGAGCAGAGCCAGGCAAACGATTACTTGTCATCAGTTTAGGGACAGGAGGTGCTGTCTTATCTAAAAGAAATCATCCAAGAACGCATAATAAAAAATTATTTTACTATTTACAATGAAGAAATAGTGTTTAAAGTAATATGATCATTCACCTCTCATCTGGAAGCCCCTTGGCCACAAATTCCATGTCACTACCAACACACACCATCCAATTTCCTTGCTCTCAAGAGCTATACAGCATTTGGAGGGAAACCGTGGGTACCTTTTTGGACAAATGCCCCCATGACCACAGCACAGCTGAGAAAACCATAGCAATTTTATTCATTTGCAAGAGATATAAACAAATCATTAGGTAATTGTTTTTCTAGGTTGCCAGCAAAAACTTCTGAAATGTTTAAAGTAAATAAGATCAAAATATAGTTGGATATCACACTGCAAAGAGCACTAATTCTATTCATCAGCTTTAAGAATATTTTCAACTGAAACCAACTGTATAATCTATTTGAATAAATACATTGTGTATAGATTATCTATAGTTCATTTGAAAAATAGCATGGTGTTGCTACTAAACTGGATTATAATTAAAGATGCCATATGATAAAACTGGTAAGGCCTTACATTTAATTATTTGGGGGTAAAGTTTTCTTAAGAAATTGTAGACAGGATGAAATAATTTGCAAATTCATCTACCTTAGAACTGGAAGGAATTTGTCCTCACCTGGTTCAAGCATCTCTTTATGACCAAGAATGTCTGTCCCTCTTCAGATCAAGTAATACAGACTGTTAATGTTCCGTGACTCAGCCAAGGCCACAGAGCTATTAAGTCCCCCTTTCCTTAGCTACTGTCTTGTAGCCAAGCAGATCTCAAAGCTGATTCCATGTGCAATCACAAGACATTCAAGTGCAAGATAATTTACTAAGAAAACCCATTCCAGGATGCACTGTGCTCACTGAGAAAGATAAATTAAATTTGTGTAATGAAAATACACAACAAACATTGCATTTAGCTTCTTGACTTCAATTTTAATTAGTGACTCATAGCTCCTACACTGAGGAAACACATAATGTAAACATCAATATAAATAAATTGCTGGATTGGCTAAGTGAAAGGCAACCAGCTCCTTGCAGACTGCTCATTACATTCAGAGCCATATTTCAAAGGAAGGGAAGGGGATGGAAACAAGGAACGTACAGAAGGCTGGAGTGTCTCAGCGAGAGCAGCTTGGCTGATCATCTTCCTGTTCAACTCTGGGTGCGAGGAACCCAGGGTTCTATCCAAGGGGCTCGGAGCCTCAGGCACAAGGTTGCTGCCTGCTCTGCGAATGTCCCCCAGCACAAACAGCTCTGTAGGAATGGCCGTGAACAGGTGTGTGGTGTGGAAATGCATGGCTGACGGAGATGTAGTGCCTCCAGATCGGAAAGTCCCGACAGGTGATGTGGTAGGGATGTAGGTGTTCCTCAGAAAGGGCTGCTGGGCTCTCTGCTGCTGTGGAGAGCTTCCTGGTGGCTTCTGTACAGCTGATACGTTCTGGATGAGACCCATCTTGGAGAAGTCTGACAGTGACAGAGTTGAAAACATGTTCTGAGGAGATTGTCCACATACGGGGCAGAAGGAAATCGCCAGTCCCTGTGGAGCCCCACCAGGCACAAGCTTGCCAGGGCCTTCAGGCAAATAAATGGCTGGAGTCAAATAAAATGCCCAGTCTCCCGTTTTCTGACACACAATACACCTGGACAACGTGAAGTGGGAGCTGCCTGTCAAGCTCAGCCGTGGATCTACCAAGCCGACACCCACTCTGCTGAGATGGGGCACCTGGTCAGAGACCTACAAGTCCTGAAAAGTGTTTCGGATCAGGCCCAAAACGGTCTGCAGGACCTTCTCTCTTGAGGGGCTGGCGTCAACCTCGAGGCAGCCGGGATTCTCCATCCGTCGGTAGGACAGCTCCACCCTGGGGACAGGCAGAAGGAAGCGTCAGCCTGGTTCCTGGCACAGCTCTCCCTGCAGAGAGACTCTGCTACCATGATGATAACCCCATGAGGCCAAGTGCCTCCTCGTTCACCTCCCAGCTCCCCTGAGCCGCTCGCTTTGCCCACAGATGATGGTAAATGCATTTTGCTTAATAAATGACAACTTAGCAATAATAATTTAACAGCTAGCATTTATTGACTACTTATCATCTGCCAAGCATTAGCATTCTGCCCAGTTCTTCTCATTTAATACGCAAAGTAACCTAAGGGGAGGAACCATCGTTATCACTGTTCTGCAGAAAAAGAAACCGAAGCTCAAACAGATTAAGTAAAGAGGCCAATGGCCAATTTCTCCCAGTCTGTTCCCTGGAAGATCTTCACAGGGGCCAGAGTCCTCTGCACAGTCGCTGCCTGAACTTAACTCTTCCAGCACTTGAGTGGAGGACACAGCTCCTGCCAGGGACCCCTATCATCTCTCCCTTCTGGTCAGCTGCAGTGAGGTGCCCGCGTGGCCAGTGTCTGTTTATCACAGGCTCTGTGGCACAGTGGTTCAGACGGGGCCTGGAGCTGGAGCATCTGCTGTGCCACCTACCAGCTACATCAGCCTGTCCCATGCCCTGTCCTGGCCGGGTCATTTGTGTATAAGTGCTGAAATAATACCTCTGTCAGGAGTTTGTAAAGAGGCTTAATGGAATTTGTATAAATGCAAATTGCTGGGCATGATATCTTCACATGCAGCACAGTTGTTTTTATTCTTTGTAGGGTGACACTACTGGGCGATGACAATGATGTCACTGTTTATCTCTTTAAGCTACTTTGGTTTTCACCTCCAGAACCAGGGCTGGAGATGGAGCCACACTTGGCCGTGACGCCGCAGGCCTGTCTGGACTCTCCACCGTGGTGCTCATAACCCTCTGATCAAAACAAACACTGTCTTTGAAGGCACAAAGATCTTGACTCTAATCCCAGTTTTACTACTTAATAGTAGGAAATGTGGACAAATCATTTAATCCTTTGAGCCTTAGGTTTTGTAAACTGTTAACATAAGGCAGATGTGGCCTCTCGAGGGAGGCTGTGGGAGAACTGCACCCAGATGTAGGTAAACCGCCTGACGCAGGGTAGGCACTCTGCGCTATGCCCATCCTATCCAGACTGGGGAACCGAGGCACGGACACCTCACTGTCTTACCCAGGCTCGTGCTGTTCCTGGCACAGCCAGGACAAGCGGCATGGTCTGATCTCCAGTCAGTGGAATTTTAGCTGTAGCCCCACGGTATGGGCCTGCCCATGGGCCCTGACACAGCTCAGGGCACTGCCTCTACTTTGGAAACATGGGACACGGTCACTTCCTCCATGCACCTAAAGCTGGCTCAGTCCCTGCAGGGATGCCCACCGCTTGCCTTGCCCCAGAGACACCTACTTCTGACGAAATACGCTGTTGGCCTCAAGTTCAGCCTCTTCTCTGGTCTGCTCCAGGCCCCGGTCCCGCAGCCTCTGTGCCCTCTCCTCAGGACTCATGGTGAGCAGCAGGACGAGGTCAGGCTTGAGCAGGTCCCCTGGCCACTGGTATACGGGGTGGTGGGCAGGAGGCAGGTGCTGCAGACCCCCACTCAACTCAGTGGCTATGCCATAGGTGGCTGTGCTGTGCCAGAACCTGAGAAGAAAAGCAGCCGTGAGTTCCTGAACCAGCCAGATGTCAAGCAGCGCCCAGGGATCAGCTGGCCAGCAAAAGGAACCCAGGGCTGACCCCTGGGCTCCCAGGGTGATGCACCAAGGTAAGTAAAACTGAGTTCTATCAAAACTCACAAAACAGTTTGAAAACAAGAGCAATGTGAGTGGGCTCTCCATGAGGTTGCCCTTACTCGACTGTCCCCTGCCGTGAGCGGAGGGGGCTGCACGGGGCTTGCCCACAGGGTGCTGGTCCTGTGCTGGGGTGAGGGCCAACAGAACAGACCTGTGGGCCTTTCATTTTAGTCAAGTGCTGTGTCTTGGGCAAACTCTGGACAGTCAGGTCAACTCCTGTGCTATTCACACTGAACGTGCCCATCCAGGGAACCCCGGGCTGGACCCCGAGCCTCCAGGCATCTGACTGCCCGTCAGTGCCAGGCAAGCAGACAGGTATTGTCGCCCAGACTACCACAGGCATCTGCACACTCCGTGTTCTCTGAGTGAAAGGCTCAGTATGAAGACAAAGGCTGATAATTCAACAAGACTCCTTTACCATAGAAGTCTTGAGCAACCTCTACCCATACATCATCCAGCCAGAGGAAGGTGCTACCTAAATAATGGATTTCAGAATATTTAAACATGGACAAACCCACTCAGACGACACAGAACTGCTCTTTGCTTTTCCTCTGACAAGAACTAAATTGCAGACAATCCAGGGACACAAAGCAGAAAGATGGAATTAAAGCCTGTTTTCTATAGAGTTCTCTCGATGACAGCCCTGCTGTGCTTTTAAAATAATCACGCCCCTGGACATCACCTCCACTCTTTGCACTATCTGGCATTCTGGATCCCACTATCAGGGGAAGCACGAACCCGGAACCCTTGGCCAATACATCATATATGGCTTTAGAATCATGCTGTCTATTTTTAGAGTGATTTGCAGTGTCAGAGACCCTGCTCATGAATCAACTCACTGCTATGCATCACAGGCTTTGAGGGCAGGCAGGGGAGGGCGTATAATATACCGCTTTGACAGATCAGCAAACCAAGAGACGGAGGGCATGAGTACCTGTCTCCACTGCAGGTATTGCTTCAGCACCCAGGGCACCAAGGAAAATATGCCCCACCTGAAGTCACGGTCTGCAGGAAAATTTTAGTCTTCCCCCTTGAAATACTAGGGAATGACTGTAGATATGGTAACACTGGGCAAGTTGGCAATGAGGCAAAGGTGTCGCCCAGGCAAGTGTCCCAAAGAAGAACAAGACTCCACAGCTTTTGCCATTTCTTCTAGCATTCCTCATACTTGCCAACTTGGAAACAATTAAAACACCCCCACCCAACCCCACCCAGCCCACCATCCCCCACCACCAAAGTAATACCCCAAGCTGCCACTGTAGCTGGGACGAGAAGCCACAGCTTCAGGCTAAACTTGCCGTTTCCCTCTCGTCCTCATGGTACCACCACATCCTTGATTCTTAAAAACCATCTGGGTGATCTCTTTATGAAATATCTCCAATATACCAAAAAGCACAGAGAAAGATATCATTTCAAGAAAGGAGTAGGAAGTCTCTTCCCTGGTGCAGCAAAGCGGCCGTAACTACCAGCTTCCCAACATGAACCAGCAGAAAGGCTAGAGCAGAGTCAGACTGCACTAACTGAGGGTGAGGGGGGCTCCCAGGGGAGGGCTCAGACCCTCCTGTGGGACAAGATGAGGCTGTAAGTTGTTTCCAGCACTCTAGAAACTTTGTTCCATACCTATGAAAGTTGAATACACCTCAACGCCATGCCCCTGCCGTTCCTCTCCCGGAAACCTGTGCATCAGAATCGCACGTACATTGCAGCAAAGGTGTGTGAAAGTTCATTACCAGACGGAGACCTCACAAACACAAGGTGTTGTGAAAGAAAACTGAATGCAAATAGCATACGACGTAGCGTTGCATTCATAGGCAGTTCAAGAACAGGCAAAACCAATATGTGGTAGATGCTATCGGGAGAGTGGCTACCACTGGGCAGGAGAGTGGACCGTGTTCAGGTGGAGAAGGAGCAGATTTATGGGGTGCAGCAAGGCTCCCATTCTTGACCAGGTGTTTTAGTCAGCTTTTTCACTGCTGTGACCAGGACAATTTTAGAGGAGAAAAACTTTATCTGAGAATCATGGTTTCAGAGGTCTCAGTCTGTAGTTGGCTGACTACATTCCTTGGAAATGGTCAGTCTCTGCACCAGGAAGTAGAGAGAGAGAGTCTTGCTCACCAGGGAAAAAAAAATATACCCCAAAGGCAGGCCCTTGGGGACCACTTTCTCCAATCATACCCCCTCTGCCTACAGTCACCACCCAATTAATCCCCATCGGGGGATAATGCAATGATTAAGTTAAGGCTCTCATAACCCAATCAGTTCACCTCAAAACTTTCTTGCATTGTCTTACACACAAACTTTTGGGGGGACACCAAATAGCTAAACCATAACCCAGGGTTCAGGGTATTTGATAGGCTCACTTCCTGAAATTCCTTGGGATTTTCATTTATTATTAATGTCCTTCTTAATATGTATTGAATTGCTTAAATGAAATTGCTTAAATTCAAAAACAACTAAAATTGCACAGAAAGCAGTAAAATGAATACTTGAGTAATGTAAAGAAATAATACATCACAAATGAAGCCCTTCTAGACACATTGGCAATCACATTTCTCTCTGCACATGGGAATATGGCTCTCTTAAATTCAGTGCTCAACATTCCTTCATCTCTCCATACTCTGCAGTATTATTTCACATGCATTCTGCTGAGCATATTTCTGCAATGTGATTTTTTTGCATTTAACATTATGGTTTTGTAATCTGTGCTCAGTGATGCATTACCCTTGTGTATATTGCCACATGATATTCCATTTTACAAATATGCCAGTATTTTCCTTTCTATTGGTGGGCTTTTTGGCTTTTCAAACTTTTTCATAATATAAATGATGCTGAAATAAACTCTGGAGAGTGTTCCTCCAGTGAGTGGCAGCAACCTTCCCCTCTGCTACATCTCCTCAACCTGTTCTGCATGGGACAACACCAGTGTCCATCTCTGGTCAGCCCCACACATGAGTTCCCATGGATCTGTGTCTTCTTCAACCCAGGTCTTCACCAAACTCCTGGGGCAAAATGGCATCTTAGTGTGGTTGCAATTTCTATACCCCGTGTTGAGACGATGTTAAACTCAGTACCCCTTGCTATATAGCTTTTGTCCATTTTTACTGCATTTTAAAGCTATTATTTATATGTACAAACTTTAAAATATCAGTTCATGCCACTCCCACATCTAAATTCTTCAGATAATTCCCCACTAAGAATAAAATTCACACTTCCCTGTGACCTGCCCCACCTTTTCCTTCCGTCCTTCCAGAAAGCAGGCCTCACCGGCTGTGCTCCAGCACCCGGGCCTCCCTCCGATCCCTGAATCTGTCAGCCTCTGGCTTACATGATCATTCTGCACCCCTGGAAATTTCACACCTGACTCTTTTTGATCACTGTTCAGAGATGCCTTTTGAGGCAGGCCCTCTGCACCACACCTACTGGGTGTGTGGAGGTTTTCAGTGTCATGTTACCTTGATTTACCCTCTTCCTCATATTTATGTTCTCTGAGATCACCTCACATTTCTGCTCACAAGGTCACTGTCTTCTGCAACTGGTCACTTTGCTCCACAGAAGCAGTGTACTGACAATCTCATTTACCCTACATCTTTTGGTCTAAGAAGTCTTTAGCACACGTTAGGTGTCCAATAAATCTTTGTTGAATAAGTAATGAACAAATGAACCACTAAAAGCACAGAGAGGGGAGCCCAGACTTCTCATTCACTGGCAAGTTATTCAACCTTTCTAGGGTCTGTTTCTAATCAGTTAATTGGGGATAACATTTGATATCTTTCTACCCAAGTTAGTGATCCAGATGTCACTAAAATGTATGCAAGTTCTATGCCAAATGCCATGACTGGTGTAGGCAATTAATAAATGACAGACATGGTTGCTATTATAATCTTAACAAAATTTTCACTTGATAAACACAATTGGGTACTGCATGCACCCCACACCATCACACACACATAGAGGAGAAAATGCCTGATTCAAGGAAGCTTTATACACACCTGTCTACAATCACAGGAGACTTGGCAGATGCCTTAGCTATTTCAGAAGCCACAATGTAATTGCCCAAAGAGTAAAATGCTCTTTTAATAATAGTTGGTTCATCATCAAAGGTTTTCCTCCATTGGCCAATGCAAGAGGGTGGTGAGTATAAGAGGACAGCCTTGAGAGACTTGGAGACTGCCTGGGTCACCGTGGTCTTACCTGCAAGTCACAAACAAGACATCACATTTTGACACAGCCCCTGTAGTATCACAAGGTTCACATTAACATCAAGAAGCAAAATAATTATTTCAATCTGTCATTGAAAGGAGGTGATCACACACTAGGGTATTTTATACAAAGTTGCAGGCTGAGAGGAACTTAGGATTCCTCTGCTTGGCATTAGAATATCTGGAAGGAAAAAAATGATCTTCATTTTTATGAATTAATGATGAACTTGGGTCTGCAGGCTCCTGATACCAGAGCTCCTTTCACGTGCTCCCTTATTCCTGGCCCGTGCTTCTCTTCACCCATGCCACCCACATCTGACCTGTCTTGGGGAATGACCCAGGCACAGTGCTGTGGTCTGGACCTGGGAAGTCCCTTGTTTAAGGCCTCTTCCCGGTGCAGCAGTGTTAGGAAGTGGGGCTTTTAGGAAAGGTTTGGACCCTGGGGCTCTGCCTACATCATTTGATGGGTGAATAATTGGAATGGACTATTAGGAGGTGAGGTGGGGGCAGAGGAAGTAGACCACTGAGGGCATGCCCTGAGGGGCTGAATCTTGCCCCTGGGTCAGTCTGTCTTCTCTCTCTCTCTCCTCTCTCTCTCTCTCCCTCTCTCTCTCTCTCTCATCTTGCTCTCACTCTCAGTCTCTCTCTCCCTCCACTTCCCAGCTCCCAGGAGCTGAGCAGCTTTCCTTCTACCACCATGAAGTTCTTTCTGCCTCATCTCTGGCCAAGAGCAATGGACCCAAGTGACCATGGACCAAAGCCTCTGAAGCCATGAGCCAAAACAAATCACCTCCCCTGAAATTGTGTGTGCCGGGTATCTTGGTCACAATGGAGAGAAGCTGAGGAACACAGGTGGCATCCCTGGCGCCTCTCCTGGTCCCACCTCCCTTCTCACTTCTTCACCCCCTGCTGCTACTTCCTCACGACCCTTCCAGTTCCAACCCTGACTCTACCACTCATTCCTGCCGTGGCTCCCTGGGCTTGGCCGTTGGAGCAGCTCTATCTGGATTTAGACTTTGGTTCTTCCTCAAAGTTACAGCCCTGCTCAGCCTCTTTCTGATCCCCTTTGTACAGCTGCAGGTTGTACTCACATCAGCCTCTTCCCTGGACCCATCCCACAAGCCTTGGCTGCAGCGCTGAGCTCAGCATGGTTGCGGATAAGAAAGTCATCCACTCCAGGACACTGTCGGCTGGCTTCTCTGCGCTCCTAATGCTTAGCTGTCTTTTCTCTCCCTCCCCACCCCTCTCTCTCCACTTAAGTTTTCAAGAATTTATTACAAACTGTTTATTTCTTTAATTATATTGTATTTTTCTCTTGGATTGTTAAGATGAACCCTAGCATTTGTCAGTGTCTTTAGGAGCTGTGAGCTCAACACACAGTATGCATCAAATTTTCCCAAGGACCCTACAAAATGGGTGTTGACTAATCACCTTATAGAGGAGCAAACTGGCACTAGAGAAAAGTATCAAATTACCCAAACACCCTGCTGATGGGCCTGGACCCAGAATGCACTGGTGACAGGTGAGCCCTCCTTGTCTCCACACGGCGCTCTCTGCTCATGAGTTTTTCATGCAAGCACTTGTGTGCTGATGTTAAACATTTGGACCTTTTTTTTAACCCCTCAGAATCTAAATTAGCTTTAGGTATAAAACAAATGAGCAGAGCCTGCACTGGCTGGAGGACTGAGGCGGTTGAGATTTTGTGTGACTACCGCATAACTGGGACTGGATCCAGCAGAGCAGGCACACCCAACGAGTGACAGATGGCCATCAGAAGTCCAAAGCCACTGCCTCTCCTCCGGATCACTCAGAGGGAACCAGGACAGTCAAAGCCAGCCCGCCATCTGCACCACAGTCCATTTGGTCATGGCACAGGGCTCCCACTAGACACTACTGTGATGCTATTGGGATAAGTGTGTGCCCCTAAGTTGACAAGGAAGGGCCACACGAGGCATATGATACTCCTGAAGCTGGTCCTCATGCCAAGCCCCACGGGTGCTAGTGTTCTCCAAGCTCAGCCTCCTCTTCTCCACTTCTGTCTGCCCCAGAAGCCACACTTCTTCCCCTTGGACACCCAAGTCTCACTCAGGCACGTGTTGTGAGATCTGTGCAGCTCAGAAGGCTTTTCCTCCTCCATTTCCTTGTTCTTCCACATTTTTCCCAAGATCGTCCTCTGAATTGCCTGGGGTTCCTGGGCACACCATGCGGGTCACGTTTGTGCACCAGTGTCCAGGCCATTTCTCTTTCTGCAGCGCCTTCCCTGCACCTGTCCCCTGACTAGCCTTGTTGTCAGAACTCGCCCTGTCCGCATGGTGTCCCCTGGGGAGGCCAGCCTTATGGCCTCCCTAGTCCAGCACCTGCTGTGTAGTACAGCCAGATGGAGGCTCTGTCTGAAGTTCTGTTTCAGAAGAACTTCTTTTATTCCACAACTGAACAGTGAATGCCATTGTCTGTAACTACAAAGTCTCTTACCAGTGGCATCCAGTCCTTCGATGGCAATGACTGGGAACTTTCCTCTTTGGACCCGCCTTGGGCACTTGTCAACCACGTCAAGAACTGCCTGGGCTTCCGGAATAGAGGACGTACACTGCAATACAATGGGTATCCATCAGCAGCAAGCACGGGGGTTTTTGTAGTTGCCCAAGACCAGGCCTACATTAAACCAAGGGCCACACCAGGCATACGAAACTCCTGGTATCCTGAAGCTGGGACAGGCTGGCCACCGTAGTTTTGTAATGGGTAACTGAAGCTCATAAAGGCTCGGTTCTCTGGATCACACACATCCTGCATTGGTCAAGACCCATACTTACAGGGCAGTATAACTCAGTCAGAGTGGAACCACAGGCTCCTCCTGGAACAGAGGGTGGCAAGTTGGTAAATGAGCAGTGTGTTTCTGTCCTCTCCTAACAGCTTAGGGAGCTGTGAAAATTGCAAGGCTGGCAGAGCAGTGTCTGCCTGGAAATCCAAGTCCTTAGCTGTGCAGTGCTCTATCCCATGCTCACTGCACCTTCACAAGAGGCCCAGACCCTACTTATTTCTGTGCTTATTGGAAAAGGAGATCTTCCAAGTGATTCACAATATGAAGCTAGCCAATCTCTAAGATAACTTTATAAGAGTGGTACTAGGATTACTTCCGTCTTGTGAACCAAGGTGACTGAGGCAAAGAGCACTGGAGAAACTTATTGAAAGCACCTATAAATGCCAGAGATTGAACTCAACCCCAGATGAATGACTTTGCACTCTTACCCACTCTGCAACCCTGTCCCATAAGGCTGATGAATCACAGGTCAGTGGGCCAGTCTGCATGCCCCAGATCCCACCTGTGGTCAGTCTTTAGTCTCTTTCAATGATGCTGTGACTCACCTGTTTCCTTAATCATTGACAAGAACCCTGAAAGACAAATGGGTGTGGAGGAAAGGAGGAAACACATAGGTGGAGTGAGGGTACAAGGCTCACAGCTACTGAGGAGGAAGGCTATTTATGCCTAAGTTTCTTACACTCCAAACTGGTGTCCTTTCCTCTACACCCCAAGATCCCTGAATGGCAGCCACTACCAAGGAAAATTACCTCTCTGTCATTATCCTCCCATTCCTAGCCCCTCTCCACTGCTGCTGGGATACTTTCTGTATGCACCACAGCAAGCATGGCATTGCTTGGTGTTAGGATATGTTCTGTGTCAGCTTGGAAGTTCCCTCATAAGAATCTCGAAAGAGCCAGTGCCTAATGCAGAGCCTGGCATACAGCATGTCTCCACTAAGTGATCTGTGAACAGGAATAAACAAACCAAGGAGGGAAGGAAGTTCATTACAGGTCAGCCTGCAGGAGAGCAAACTGCTTGGTCCAGTTCTGGTGTGGAGGATCCAGATGCCATCCTGAAGGGAAAAAAAAAATCTTACCGTCTCTAAAATAGCCCTGGCAGTGTCCAGGTCCCGGAAGACCACCGAGCTGAGGAGGTGGGGCACCACTGGATGCAGCGGGGGCTCCAAGGTGGGTAGGACACGTGCGCAGCCCACCTGCAGCTGCCCACTCTCCTGCAGTACCCAGACTCGCTGCCACAGTACACCTTGCGAGTCGGCCTCAAACTCCCCCAGGTGCGGACGCTCAGCCTCCTGGAATTTGCCCAGCAGTTCTAGCAGAGCGCGCCGGGTGTCCAGGCAGTCACAGGGGTCGCGCAGCAGGAAGCCGTGCTGCATGCCTTGGGCCTGGCTGCCTGGGCAGTAGCAGAGCAGCCTGTGCAGCTGGCACCGCTGGAAGGGGTCACTGCGCAGCTGGCGCTGCAGGTTCTGGTGCACCCGAGCCGCTTGGACTCGGGCCCCGCAGTCGCCGTCCGCGGCCGCCGGCACACACAGCGAGTAGCTGCGCCCCGGAGGCCCCAGCAGCTCAGCCAGGCTGGGGTCAGGGCGTGCATCGGAGCCCTCCTCGCCCAGAGCGAAGTGAGCTAAAGTGCAGTCCCTCAGCTCCAGAGCGAAGCAGCGCGGCCGAGCCATGGCCAGAGCGCAGAGCCCGCGCCAGGCGCGCAGCTGCCCTGAGAGCCGCCAGAGCAGCAGTGCGGCGCGCGGGCGCCCGGCAAAGGCCATCAGCGCCACCCGGCCCTTGGCCGTGCCTGGTAATCGAAACTCGCCTGGGGGCGGGCAGAGGGGAAGCGCGGCGGGAAACGAAAGCTACTGGCGGGCGGAGCGGCTCTGGGCGCCTCCCCGCGGCCTCTCCTCCCTCGAAAAGCCGCTCCGTAAACCGCCCGCGCGCGGAGAGCAAACGCTCGGCCCCCGCGTCCCTGGCGCGCGTTGCTGCCTGCGTAGGGCAGCTCCCGGAGGCGGCAGCCTCTACAGGGGACGTCCCTCTTAGCCCTAATCCGGCCCTTAGGCTAGCGGCAAATCAGCACCGGAGCCGCGCCCGGACCTGGAGGTGACAGGCGGCCCCCAGCCCCCTCCCCCAACTCCTCCTAGGTTTCTTATGCCCAGCGTGTGGGGCTAGGGGTGCAGGGCCGAGCGTGGGGTTGGGGTCTTCATCTCATGAATCTGAAGAACAAAATCCATGGACACAAGAGTGAGAGCAAAGTAACAGGATTTATTAGAATAACAGAAAGGAGAACTTCTAAGTGGGGGGCAAACGAAGGATAGGAAAGAGGGGCTACCGTCCAGGGGGTTATGTAGATGGATAGGTTTAAGGAAGCCAGCCCCCTGCCCAATCCCAGGCAAGGCACTGAGTGTCAAGAGGTGTTCATGCAGCCTTTAGTCCAATCAGAATATCAATCAGGCATTTTCCCTTCTTTGGAGAGACTTGGAACTCTCCAGTCACATGGTCCTGATTTTAAAACAGCCCTTTTGTACTTTTCTTAGCAAACATCTGCAGGTGCCCTTTGTGCTCTCCTGCCCTGGAAGCTGCCCAGGGGCCCATCTCCCTGTCCTCCCAGGCTTATCTCTTCCCACTGACGTCATTCTCTCTCTCTGGAATTTGGGCAATGACTGCTCTCACGTGCTTCAGGCTGAAGAGGGATGTTGAGAGGGGAGCGTCAGTCAGGGTCCCGCTGCAGAGGCCTCTCTAATGGGTCCCTATGAAGTCAGGAGGTACTTCCATGGTGGGTAGCATCTCCATGACCATCTGGAACTTAATACACTCTGCAGCTTAATAGACTCTGCATCAGGGCAGTGCAGGGGTCCATGGCAGCAGTTGGCGGGTGACTGGACATAGGGTAAGGATCGGGCTGGAACAACAATAAAAAGTTGGCAAAGTATTATTTTCTGTAAACAATTAGTGTTACAGCCAGTCTCTGAAGACCATGAAGATAGTAACTTGTTAGAGTTTAAGGTGTGGCCTGATGTGTCATTTATACTTGTGAGTGGAGGCCATTTAAGGCTTCAGAAATATCAGCAAAGTTGCTAAAAACACATGCCCAACTTTTAACTTTAATAATGGCCCAGGGTTCCCCTGGAGCTGTGGAAGGCCGTTGGGTTTTTATAAAGTAGCTTTCTCGTCGGCCTTACCTCTGTGTCAGCAGAAGGGTCCTGTTAGCTGTGCAACTTAGGACTCTCTTGGTAAAGTCAGCTAGGGCTTTCGTGTGCCACATTACATCTTTTTTAGACCAACCCAGAGCTAAATAACCATGCCAGTGAAAAGCCAATGGAGCTTACCTCTGTAGGAGGTTAGGGACATTCACAGGTCTCAGGCTGACTTACAACAAGCTTGTCAGCCTGGCAGCATCCTTTGTGACAGTTATCAGACACTCTGATATAAGACCCTCTCTTTATAGCTTCCCAGTTTCACTTACTTTGGGGAGGACTGACACAAGTGTACATCCCCAGTTACATTAAAAAACTATTGCCTTTCTAAGTGTCCCTGTCTGACTGTATTTTGGTTACACTTTCCTGCCAGGTGTTCAAGACCAAGCTGGTAAAGAATTTGACTGCTCTTATATTCCATTAAAAGTCAGGGATCACTCTAAGAAAGGTCTCCTCTATCATTCCTGCATCTGCCAGGATGGATTAGGTCTTGCTGCCCACATGGGGCTTCCCTCAGAAGCATCAATGACTTTTCCCTTTCCAGTGACCCTCCTCTTTGCAGAATGTGTACTGGGTGGCTTCCTGTTTTCTAGTTTCTCCACAATCCCCCTGATCTGGAGGTCCAGTGACTCACTAGAGTCCTCAGAGACGTCCCATTGTTCCCTGAGTTCCAGCTGACCTTAGAGAGCAAGGTCAAAAGATTGGCTGCTTTTTCTTAGCCCTTTACTCCTTGATTTTGTCTCCAGGTTTGGGTTTTAAACATGCAGTAGGTTGGGTTCACCATTTTGAAGTAGGAGTACTGAGTTTTAACTTTAATGTCTATGATTTTTAATTACTTTGGGTCAATATTAATAGTGAAGGTCAGCATTATGTACTATCTCTCCTAAGGTTGATGGTTTATAGTCTTAAGTTAGCTCAGGTGGTTTTGTTAGAAATAGTAATTTTATAAAATACTAATAGGCAACATTTATAAAGATGTATGAGGATTTAGTTTGTACAATAGCTTTGAATCAAGATACATAGTTTCAATTATGTCACTAAAGTATATTTAATGTCTATTTAACCTCTGCAAAGATTTATTAATTTTTAAACTCATAGCATAGAAAATCCTTTACAAACTTTGTTATTTTTATAACTTTATTACAACCTTAAATATATTTTAAAATTCACCTAAACCTTTCATTAGTTTTGTATTATATCCCTTGTTTATTTTGAGATCACAGTAATCTTTATAATCAAAATCTGTCTTTTGAACATAACTTTAAATGAGCTTAATTCTGGCCTACTTTGGAGGCATCCTAACATAGAGTAAAGTGAGAGGCAGAGCCTTAACTCAGATGAGGTATCAGAAATAGACTATTATCTGATGTTAAATGCATCTCATTTATATAACAATGAAACATTTACATAGTTTCAACAAACAGATGTAAGCTAGGTTTTTTTTAACCCTGGCAGTGTATCCCTTTATGTCAGATATAAAGTATAAAAGAGAACCTTCATTGGTTACCATACCTGGATTAAACATAAGTAGCTTTCATTTTATAAGCTTTTATGTAACACTTAGATAAAGCTCAGAAAAACATTTTTTTTTCATTTGTATACTTATATATCTCTAGTCACACAAATTTAGGGTGTCAACTCTATTGTAATATTATAAGATAACAGTTGGTTTATTTAAACAGAGCTATAAAACAATCATTGAAAAAAAACTTTGAAATCAGTATGAACCCTCATTTCGTTAGGGCTTAATTTTCTTAAATAATAAAAACTAAGAGACACAGAAGTTATCTTGATAACAAAATTATCTTGAAGTTATCTTGAAACAAGTCCAGATCAATGTTTTAAGAAAATCTTATAAATTTTGAGCATAGTTAGATGTTTATATTGGTACATTCAAAGTTGACTTTAGAAATCTCTTTAAGTAACTTTCCTTTTGTAACTAACCTAGACACTCTAGAACTTGTTTACATTCTTAGCTTTGTCCTGACTCCTTTTTATTTTGAACTTTAGAACAAAAAATATTACTTTACCATGCCAGGTACTTTCTCTTTTGGAAACATTTTTCCTTATTAAGAAAATCCATTTTTGTCTCTGTAACTTCCTTATGTATTTTATCCTAATTAACTTTTTAACTTTATAGTTTGAACAGTCCTTAAAAATTTATGAATGTGTATAAAATTACGTTTTTTAGTGACATGAAATACAATTTACTTTTCTTATAGTTTGTTGTTGTTGTTTGTTTATCAAAACTATCTTAGGGTTTTTTGTTCCTTGCATATACCGCAATACACATAAGTAGAATTTTAACCTTTAATTGTCTTATTTTTAGTGAAGACCCAGAAACAAAGCCATCTTAAATTGACTTACCATTTATCAACGATTTATAAAAGCACATTTAATAAACCTAAACTATGTTGTCTTATGGAATGAAAGAAGAGAAGAGTACTTAAATTTAAATTTAGCATTTGATGCTTGAATATTTTAACTTCATAAATTGATCAAATATTTCTTTTAACAAAAATTTATGAATATTAGTGCCATTTATGTTAAATCTAATTCATTCATTCTAGTTGTTAACGTTATGTCAACCATGAAAACTAATGAATCAGACAAATCAAATTAACATTTTAACTAAGTTATTGCTGTCCAAGAAAAATCCTTAAAAGCAATGGATGTTAAACATTTTATAGATACTAATGTTTTCTTAATTGGCTGGCCACTTAAAAAATGTGTACATTAGAAATTTTAAAGACATTTTGCTCTTATCTTTTTAAACAGTTTAAGTCACATGACCTGAAAGGCATTTGGATTATTTTTATGAGCACTCATTTATATTGTGGTACCAAAAACATGATACATATACAGGAGCACACATGTAGACACAACATAGAATACACAGGTATACACACATATACATAAAAATCAACAAGAAGCAAAGATTTTATAGCCCTTTGCCAGGCATTAGATTCTCACATGTAGAAAACAAACAAGTTACAGATGTTTAATCATACAGACTGTCAGATTTAACCCTTTAGAAATGAAAATAGAGTAAACCACAGATTCTTGCAATATGACTCAGATATAGGGCAGCCCTGTACAGTTGGGGAGATTAGAGATAGATTCTGTCATCCAAGGCAGACGCTCAAATCCGAGGTCCAGGTGGCCACTCGTCCATCATGGGGCAGGTTCATTCCAACCACTACCACTGTTTCTTTTTCCTGCTTAGTACTCATTAAAGGAGAAGGTCTCTTTTCTTTGCCAGCATGTTTGAGAGTTAACCCCTGAAAACCTGGCCTCTGAATAAAAACAACAAAACAGAGGACTAGAAACTCGGACAAAACCAGACTAATTGGTGCAGGCCCAAAGGTGACTTCACCAGAAAAAAATTGAGTTTAGAATATGAAAAGACTGAAAACAATGGCATGGCCATAATTACTCTATTAAAGGAGCATCTGACCAGAGAGCACTTGGGGGTCAGATTTTAGACAGGCCAGATATTTAAAGAATTTGGAAGCCCATGAAATCTCAAAAAAAGATTTTAAAGAAAAAGAAATCTTGCACCTATGGGATCTTTTCTTTTCTGG